TAAATATCTAGTGCAATCAAGTGCGGCAGTTAATAGAATGCGATAATTAATACGAGCTTGGTCTATCTGCTTGATCACAATGGTTTCAACGTGTTGCTTCTGATTCATTAAATCTGTAAATGTTGTGTAGCTTTATTGTGAAGACTTCCAACTTGTCCAACATGGTCCCTAAAATTCTCAGGTCCCTTCCTCCAATTTTTAAACCCTTTTTCAATGAAGACATCACTTCCAGCCTTTTCTTGTTTATCAAAGTCGCATTTAAAAAGATAACAATGAAAACAAAATGCGGCATCTTTTTCTCTACTATACTCTAACAAAACAAATGAATCAAACCATTTCACAAGAAAACGTCAATTACTCTCACCCATAAGTGTTTGAGGCATGTCATTTTGGCTTTTAGGCTGACAAGGACCCCTTTGTAGATAGGCTCTTCGAATTTGTTCTCGAAAATTGGGATTATAATAAGTCATTGGAGGTCTAAGTCCCGGGTCTGTAGGAAGATTAGCCAATATTTCATCCAACTCAGTTACCTCCGATCGTTTTGGACTACCCGAATTATTCAAGGAAGGATGTGAAGTAGGCGGATTATTTGAAAGATGATTTGAACTAGCTGGATTATTTGAAGGAGGGTTGGAACTAGCCGGATTATTTGAAGGAGGGTTGGAGGTAAACAGATTATTTGGAGGATTTGAACTACCCGGATTATTTAAAGGAGGATTTAAACTCTTTCTTTGAAAGTACCGTTCCATAACTGTACAATTAATACAAGAGAGAGCTAAATAAGAAAAAAAAAATTTAAAAACAATAAATAAAATTGGCGTTTGCTTAAGAAAAAAAAAATGCATTCGACTTACTTTGGATTGGCGTACTCAAGAAGGAAAAAAAACGCAGGATTTTTGTGATGCACACACACTTCGATGAAATTGGATGATGTTAAATTGGTCTTTTATAAAGAGAATTCTCAATCCTACTTAATTAAGGAATTCCCAAAACCAAATTGAATAAAGAGAGAACTCCCAATTAAAACCTAATTAAGATAGGAATTCTAGAAGCCCTTTGAAAAGCCCACGAATTAAGCATCAGTTTTCATTTTTTCTTCTTTTTTTTATCTTTAAAAACCCTGGTCCAAAACGACGTCGTTTTGGCCAGGTTTTGTTTTGTTTTTTTAAAATTAAAAAAAAGAAGCCAGCAACGCCTTCTAAAAAGCGTGGTCCAAAACGACGTCGTTTTGGCCAAGACTTGTTAAAAAAAAAACAAGCACGCGCTGCCAGCAGCTGTGCAGCGCCCAGGTGGTTTGGGCATTTCATCGAACAGGTAGCCTGCGCCGTTGGTATGAAGTAGAGGTGCAACTCCAGCAGCTCTAATGGAATTTTCCGGCGATCGGAGGTGCAAGTGCACCTCCTTGCGCCTGCACAGGTCCGCCACTACTCACCATTGTAGATTCTCTAACAAACAGTTCTTTGCTAGACAAAATTCCAATGTTTTATTACATGATGAACTCTTTATATGGTTTTTTTTGGTAACAACTCTTTATATATGGTTTTACTAAAGTGTCAATATCATTGTCAATAACACAACACATTGATATGTTATGTCCTTACCTTACAAACAACATACATCTTACACAGAGAATTTCCAATTTAGCAAGAAAACATTTTTCTTTTTTTGCAATTGCAAATCATTTATACATCATGGGTAGGGACAATAAATTCTCAGCTTTTATCAGAGAGGGTAAGTGAATGTGAGAGAAAGGGCCAAGATGGGTGGGGGTCATGACATCAGGTGTGGAATGCAAAGAGGTAAGAAATGAATCTAACAAGAGATCAGATTCTGAGATACAGAGAGAGAGTGTGTGTGTGAAGGTGTTCAATCAACCATGCATTCTGTCCTTCCCAGTCCTCTCTCTTTCTCTCTCTGACTCTTGGCTCTGCTGCCTTCCTCTCTCTCTTTCTCTCTGCAAAATACGTCAGTAGCAGTACAGAGTAGAGAGAGAAAGAGATACACGGAAGAAAGCGTGACGTAAGTACTGAACACCGTAACGCGTGCTTGGAAGCGTGCGAAGTGGATTTCGAATTCAATGCCAAGACACAGAGAGCAAAAGAGAGAGAGATAGAGAGAGAGAGCTAGGCGCTAGCTTGCTTTTAACTCTCTGCTTGGACTTTTCCATCCCATCTATCCATATTCACCGCATTGTCTATATATGGCGGCAGAGAGAGAGAGAGAGAGAAGACACTGGATATTTATTTTGATGGTATTTGTATTTGAATATGTAATTTGATCTCATAATAAAAATTATATGTAAATAAATAAAATTTATTTAGGCATGCATGGGATGGGATGGGTTTGCAAATTGCATGGCAGTGCATCAGCTACAGAGGGTGCAGAGAGAAAGAGATGGAAGAAGGCAAAGGCAGAGCTGTCAATCGGGTTTTCTCTGAGCGCTTCGTACGATCCTCTCCTGTATATAATAACATCAATATGCATATGGTAAGAAGAGGGCTCAGAGCCCCATCATTTTCTCAATTATCAGATCCTCTTCAGTACGTGAGATTGGCCTTTTAACCTCTGCCCTTGTGTGTCGTATATATTATCTTTTGATGCAAACTGCTGCTGCCTAAAGATTGCTTAATCTAATTATTTGCCTTATAGTACATTGCATATTCGCGTACGACAACTTGTATACACGCTAATTATAGTACATTTGTTACAACTTGTGTGACATTACGTGACATGACGGTGTGACGATCGTCACGCCTGATTACTTGAAGTTTACAATCTACATATTTTCTGTCAGTATTTTCTTTAATGTAGTGTGGTCCAACATAATAAGCTTTAAGTAAAGGGTTACGTATCTCAAGATGGAAAACATGGAAACATGGATATCAAAAGTAAAATTATGGGAATCTTAAACAAATCATACAAAAAATATATATCAAGAAAATGAAGGTCTCTCAATCCCCTCACGCAAGTATTTAACATGAATTCAAGGCAGATGTAAGCGAAGGGATCAAAAGAGCAAAATCTGTGTGCTTGGAATTGAATTGCTTCTGAAAATTCAAAGCATTAATGGAATTTTGGTTTGGAAGACCGAGGACTTCATTTGATGATGTGACTGTGATGGAAAGTTGGCAGCTGCACAGTATTAACTTTTATTTTTTGGCAATTAAAATAAGAGGAGGCTGCAGCATTTGCTGCAAGTGTTATTAATTAGAATTTGAAAATCTTGCAATCTTTCTCTAAATGACCCAACTGAAAGGGCATGCACGTGTAAACCTACTTTTTACCAAAATTACGGCAGGAGTTTGAACAATCAACATTCAAGATTGTAGTTGTATTGGGTAATTATTATGTCTACACACAACACTAGGAATTTTCCAAAGTCTATATTTGTTTGTGGGTTCAAAGGCCAAACTTGACAAAGAAGTGAAAGTAAAAGAAAAGAAAATGGAGCTCATTCATTGAGCATATACCTACACGTTTGTAGACTGCCGAGAATGGACAAAGAGAGGCTATAAATATGAGAAAACGTGAAAGAAGTAAACAGACAGTGGCATGCATTCCACTACATGTTTTGTAAGATGGATATGTCTCTCATTATTATTCAATGGAGAGAGCCACATCATCAGCTCAGCATCAAAATGCACCGCATAGCAACATGTGCATATAAGCATGTCAACGAATATCATGTTTATTAATCCGTAATCGGAATCAAAATAAGGAGTTGGATTCCAATTACGGATTACTCATGTGTTTACTTCACATAAAGGAATAAAAAATGTAAGTGAGGTCCATACAAAATTAGGAATTAGAGGAATTGGACTCTTGGGTGGGAAGTACCAATTCCTAGATAACTAACCCATCAGGAATCCATTATTTTTACCAATTATATTCTCACACAATTTTAAAATTCCAAATTTGTCATCCACTTTAACTCAACAAGAAGAGCAATTTTTGTAATCAAACTTGTTTCAATTTCGATTCATAAGAATTTAGTAAACAACTTATAAGGAATTAGTATCATTCATACCCTGATTCCATATAGTTTAGTGAACAACTTCAATGAGAATATGAATTCTAACTCCTCCTCAATTCAGTTTATCCTTATCCGATTTACGGATTAGTAAAACATGACCTATATATTCAATTCGGCTTCTTAGTTTAAACCATAATTTATATTTCTCCTAATGTTGATAGAAATCTCAAATTCAAAATTCATCTATTCCGCTGAAAAATTAAATAGTTAAATGCTCTAACCTATAATAATAAAAGTGAGCAAGTTTTATATTACGTTATGTGAGATGAGGCTAATCTTAGTCCATTCGTTTTAGGAGCTTACTAAGAGAAAAGCATAATCACCACATGAACATAGCTCTGTAAAACGATTTAGAGAGTACCATATGGGCACTTAAGATCATAAAAGAACATTTGTTCAACTAAGCTTATGTTCATCAAGCCAAACATGCTTATATCTCCTTATTGTATATCAGCTGACCCCAACATTGGAGTTAGATATACCAATGTGTTCTACCTAGTATGACCCTAAATTAAATAGTTCGATATGATATCAATAAGGTGTCGATATCATTATCAATAACGTCATTATCAATAACATGTTAATAAGGTATACGTAATCCACTAGTTGCACTTATTGCCAAAAGGTAAAGGGATCGATCAAAAATAAGAAACAAGAAATGTAAGGGTTTGAAAGATGACAATTCATGTACCAACAATCCCCATGAAACTGAGATAGAGGCAATGATCGATGATAGTGATGCTACATATGTTTAATTTGACTTGTAAGTAGAGCCTTGCATATTTGTCACGACTTGTGGAGCTAAAATACATTCTATTTATGAAATTGTTTGTACAAAGCTAAGGAACATACATGTGACGGAAAGGAAATCTAAAGCCCCCAAGCAAAATTGTTACATATACAAACCCAAAAAAGAAAAAAAAAGAAGAAAAAAAGAGGAGAAAATTGAAGCACAAGCCTTGCTAGCTAAAGGAAACGGGGTCTAACTGAGTGGAAAAGGGCATTGACTTACAGACCCAAAGTCTCAGGTTCAAATCTCTACGTCGGCATCATAGTTGTGTGTGAGAAAAATTCTCATCACCTTTAGTTTAAACTATCGCTTGTACTAAAAAAAAGGTTAAATAAAAATCATTATCCCCTGTAAACACCACTAACTCAGAGAATAACCTAATTTATCGCTTGTTTTTTTTTTCTTCCTTATTTTTTTTTTATACAACAAGTCAATATTGTCGAACATTATTTCAGAAGAATAATATGGGAATTACAAGAACTCCTCCAGTCTTTGTTTGTCTTCCAAAGTTGAGCAATGTCGTTGGCAATCTCAACAGCATCAGAGGCCGTTCCAAGAAGCCCTCTTCTTGTGAAGCCAACTGTGTAAAGTCCTTCGCTTCCTTTCCAGCAGTCAGGAAAGGGTGTTTTGGGCATGCCTTCTTTGGTGAAAAAATCACAACCCTGAAATTAAAATTAATTAATTAATTAAATAAAAACAAAATTAAATATGCATACTGCCTGAGAAGTAGCCATCATACATGAAGAGGCAAACCAAAATGCTAAAAAAACCCAACTTGTTTTATTCTTTTTTGCATGGAGAAAAGAAGGGTTTCATAGGTGTATGTGGCATGTGTCCAAGAAAGAAAGTGACAGGTGATGCAGAAAAAGATAGAAGTAAATACTAAATAAAAGTTGCAGCTGGGCATTGTCAAGCTTACCTTGAGCCAAGTAGGCACATTGCTTTTGTACCCAGTTGCTAAGATTATAGAATCAAACTCCTTTTCCTGTCCATTCATAAATCTGGCTCCATTTCTTGTTATCTCTTTTACACCTTCCACCACCACCTGCAATACCAACAAGTTAGCTATGAATCACAAACCATTCTTTTTGGTTACTTTTTTGGGTTGGTTAAAGGCTTAAAGCAAGTACCTTTATTTTGCCAGATTTTATCTGTGCCAATGCTCCTACATCAAGCACTGGGGTTTTTCCTGTGGCATTTTTGAGCTCAATTGGACCAGTTTTTGGCCTCCTGAGGCCTAATTGGTCTGTGTTGCCTAGGATGATTGTGGCCAGTAGCAAGAGGACCTTGTCAACAAGTTTCAACGGCAGCCATTTGAGAAGTGCCATTGCAATTCCAAAGGTTGAGAAACCAAACATCTCTCTTGGTAGAACATGAACCTGTGGCATCAAAATTGCAGACGTAAATCAACAAAACCCAGAAAAGACATTTATGCCGAAACAATGTAGAGAGAGTGGAGGCTTACAGTGTTTCTAACTACCATATGAGGATTTGCATTGTGTCTGCAGAGGTCTAGGCTGACTTCCATGCCAGAATTTCCACAGCCAACAACCAAAACCTTTTGGTTTTTGAAATCAGAGCCAGATTTGTAGAGACTGGTGTGAAGAATAGGGCCTTGAAATATCTCCATCCCACCAATTTCTGGTATAACAGGCTCAGCATTCTCACCTGTGGCCACAATAAGCCACTTGGAAATGTACTCAAAATCTTGAGTCTTAACCCTCCAAAACCCAGAATCAAACTCAGCGCTCTGAACAGCTTGGTTGAACTTGGGCTTGATTGAGAAGTGTGAAGCATAGGTTTCCATGTAGGAAATGAACTGGGATTTTGTTGGGTACTTCGGGAAATCTTCAGGGAAGCCCATGAGTGGAAGCTCACAGAATTGTTTGGGAAGGTGAAGCTTGAGGCGGTCGTAGGTCTTGTGCTGCCATAGAGAAGCTATGCAGTCACTTTTCTCAAGAATTAGTGAAGGGACGCCATGGTTGGAGAGGCAAGCAGCTGCTGCAAGACCAGATGGTCCTGCGCCTACAATGATAGGGCCTTGAACAAACCCACAATTTGATTGTTGTGGGTTTTCTTGTTGGTTTTCTTTACAAGAACCCATGTAGGAAAATCCCAAGAAAAGTGAAGGAAAGTGAAAGTAAGTGAAAAAGAGAGAGAGGGTTAAAGAGGGAAAGGGAAAGAAACCTTTGTGTTTCTTTTTACTCGCTCTGTTTTGAAGACTCTGTTAAGGCTCTGTTTCTTTCACTCTGTTTTGCTGAGGAAAAATAAAATCTTGCGGGGTAGATGGATGAGGTGGGAAGGAATTTAAAGAGGGTGGGATGAAGGGTTTAGGGAAGGTTCAATACAAAGCGAATCAGCGGTCTGATATGTCTGAGGACTGATGAGGACCTTTTAATGCATAGAAAACAGAGTAAGCAAATAAATAAATAAAAAAACCAGAGTTATTATGAGAAGTGAGAGGTAGAGAGAGAAACAGAGAGAATAAGAGAGAGAGAGAGAGAGAGAGGTGTAATGGAGGCGTGAAGGTTAAGAAAAAGGATTTGGTTCTCTTTCTCAAGGCTCCTTCTTCTCAGCTCTTCTGTGCAGAGTTTTTGGGAGGGTAGAAGTAGTAGTAGTAGTAGTAGGCAATGGGGCGAAGGGGGAGATATAAATACATTTATGTGGGCTTTTAATTTAAGTTGAATTTTGGAGCATTGGACATGTCCCACTCGCATTTTACAACATTGGTTTGTACCCTCTTCGGCCAGTTCTTGTTCGGCTAGCTGATTGAATTTAAACATGTAAATACCCATTGAGAATGACTAAAGATGGTGGGCAGGTACAAAGAAAGGGAGATGGAGATGGAGATTAAAAAAAGTGCATATTGATCATCTAGTATGTGAAGGAGAAAACATATAAACACTCTACTTTTGATGCAATATGAGATTAGATTGTTATCAAAGTTCATATGGCACAATAAATTGATTTAGATTCCATATGAGAATATTAGGGCGAACAAAACTCAAATCGGTCAGATCAATTTCTTCCAGTTTTTTAGACCCCGTTTCCATTGCCCCAAGTAAAAGAGTGTATGAATGAAGGACGCGCATGAGCAGCATGGTGTGAAATTGTGGATGCCATTGCCAAGTAAGCAAGGGAGTAGTTGTTGCACTGCAGGAAGCAGCGGTGAGAAATATTTGCTTGCATCAACAGCCGTCCGATCGCTTACTACTGCCTTTCTCGCGCCACGTGGCGTAATTCTTTCCGTCTAACTGCCGGGAAAGTAACAACACAAAAATGATATTCCAACATTTTGATGTTGATTGCATTTTAAAAAGTAATTTTACTAACAACTTGGAAGTGATTTGAGATTTGGACCCTTATGTAGTGGTTTAAAGCAGTACATTATAGTCATGTGCTTTTTTTGAAAAGAAGTTTAGGGGGAGATTGGCCACTCTCACCACCAGCGTCAGGGCAGACTCACAACCTCGAGCCGAAATGACTTACGCACATATGAGGATTGCTGGAAAGCGGAACTTAAACACTGATGGGGCTACACACAGTGAAGAGACCTTACCAATTGAACCAACCCTCATTGGCATAGTCATGTGCTTTTAATTACATAACCAAGTAAAAATTTTGTGTGAACCAATTCCATTTTTTTTTAAAATAAATTTTTTTAGTGGTAGACGTGGATTAGGTCAATTAACCACGACCCAAGTAAATTATAATAGTTTTAAAATAGTTTTGTACAATTTAAACTATCATTCATATAAAATAAAATGATAATCGTAACTAAAATATACATATGTGTACATGTACATAATTTTGTATTATTATAAGAATAAAAATAAAAATAAATTTAGTTATAGATGTGAATTAAGTCAATTAATCACGACCCAAGTAAATTAAAATAGTTTAATACAATTTAAATGATCGTTTGTATATAAAAGAAAAAAGAAAATCGTAACTAAAATATACATATGTGTACATGTAAATAATTTTGTACTATTATAACAATACTATTGTTTTTTGGTAATGGTATTTGTAATAATAAAAAAATACTTGTACTTTAGAAGGTAAACAGATGGCAGTCCTACAATTTTGTCTATTGATATAATTAACATGAAAAAGGAAAGTTTTGTTTTTTTTGGAAACTTGTTGTCTCTAATTATTTATTTTGGTAACTGAGTTATTATATTTAAAAGAAGAAGAGGCTCCAAGGGAGGAACCCTTTCCTCGACATTGGGAATAAAATGAGTAGAGTCATGAGTGGTTTGGTATCTGTTATGTATTGATGTGAAGTTGTTGTCATGTAAAAATGTTGCTTGAAAAAGTTCATAATACAGATAAAAGATAGGAAACCCGACCGAAAATCTCAAAATAACAACATTTATATTTTGTCTTTGGACGCCAAAAGATATACATGCTGTCATTTGTTCCCTACCCTCTTGTTCTTTTGCTGCCTAGCATGCCACCTTTTTGTAATCACAATTAAATTAAAAGTTGACTAAAACTCTTTTGTCACATATAGTTTGATTTTATTATTTATTTATTGGAAGAAGGTAGTGAGTTAGGCAGTTAACTTCATCTGTATCTGGTTTGATTTTATTAATTATATATTGAAAGAAGGTAGTGAATTAGGTAGTAACTTGATCTGTATGATAAGAGAACACGTAAATTCTTTTTTTTCACCAGCACAATAGGTATCGTAAAATTATTTGAGTAATTAATCACGTCGACTATCGTAATGTATCGTAAAATAAAAAAACATATATAATTAAAAAAAAAAATTGATAAATACCACGAGGTGTCCCCACATAACACATTACGATTGCATGAAATCCTAGCTAACGCACCATCTAATTAAGACAATTAATGCCGATCTGTACTTGTCGAAAGTTGGCGAGGCATCAAAGGACAAGAAGAAGAATATATGTTTAGGGGTCAATGAGGAAATAAGATCCCAATTACCTCAATGCATGATGGTGTTTGGATTCGAGGATCTAGGGGAGCTCGAATGGATTCAATTTAGAATGAAATGCACAATCTAGGCTAGAGAAATAAAATCTAGGGCAAATATCTTTATTCTTCATGGAATATGCACTTAGTTGGAGCGCATTAATTTCAGTTGCTAGCCATGGCCTACTATTTATCATATTAATTTGTCTTTCTTCAATCTTTACACCTGTTGATTTCTAGTTAAAGCACTAGGCAAGCAGGGCAGCTTGGAGTTTTGCAAAATGGGGACAATTTGCTGACCTCAGCTGAATCCACATATAATTTTATTTCTTTAAGTTCGATCTAATCTTCTAGCCCAAAGAAGGAAATTTCTTTTTTTATAACAGAGATAGCAATGTTTTGCTATATCCATTGTTATTAATCGAGCTCGAGATAGCAAAAAGTGTTATTCCCATAGTATGCGAGTTTTTCTATAAAAAAAAAAAAGATTAAGCTAATGATTACATAATCCAAAATACCCTAAGTTGGCTAATGAATATCTGATTATTAGTTTCTGACTTATTATAAACCCTGATGTAACATAAAGAACGAATTAATGCAGGTAGGCGTTCCTGTAAAGTAGATTCTTGTCTACAATATTATGATGACAAAGGATCTAAGTATACTATGGAACTTCCATCACATTCAAAAACGTGCTTCAACTTAAAATAAGAGTAATATTATGACGGACCAAGCGACATATAGTATTTTTAAGCGACGTGTCATGCACATTTGGAAAGATGAAATGTATTTCAACAAATTCTAAAACAATTTGATAGATATGCTGACATAAAATGATAATCATGTTAAGAAGAAGAACTCTTTCTCCATATGTAATTTTGAACAACTTTTTCATATATAGGTTGTGTATTATATACCGTTTAGTTAGATCGAAAGCAACGTTCACACACATGTCTTTTGCTAGTTTGAAATAGATAGTACGTTCAAAGTTCGGAGAGACCTTCCTCGTTTAACGACTTTCATTGAAGCATAAAATCCTGAACAATTTCGGTCCCCACCCCACTGTACTACTCTCTCTCTCTCTCTCTTCACAGTTGGGGTTGACAACTAAAATGTTGATGAGCCCCATCTCTGCATTTAGGACATCTCTCTCTCTCGTGATAATTTATCAGAGAACTCGATAGAGTTGATTTGTAAATTATGAGAAGTTGTTTTCAAGAGCGTGCATGAGCAAGATGCCCTTCACACAAGTCCCAATTTATGAAGTGCTAACCACTCATTTTGACGCACACGCACCCCACAATTTGCCTTATTAATATTGATTTGTAATCATAAGGTAATATCAACCGAAATGAACAAACAAACACACAAAATATATATTTTTTCCTCCAAGTCATTTATACTTAACTAATTTATTTATTTTCCAAGTCATTTGTTATTTCACCCAAAAAAAAAAAATGTACTTGCGAAATTATCTTTTTGCCTGAATTAGTTTTGGGGAAGAAGAATGTACGACCATCGTAGATGCCATGCCAGGGTCAAGTTTGCGTCATGGCTCGAGGTTTTTTCTGTTTTTTTTTTTGGGTCTGATGTCACGTGACCTATACATACCGTCAACCCTGGCAGTCACGTGGCACTTGGACAGTAAAATCTCTCGCCAATGCAAACGTTGGTCATGCTGACCGAAAAGACCAAAACGACCCTGACAACTTTTGACACTGATATGATGGCAATGGTTCAGACATAACGTTAAAGACTGAAGTGACCCCAGCATTTGTATAAGGATCAGTGCAGTATGATTTGATGGTCGAGGGCATTCTCGTCATTAAGGCTCTTTACCACGTGTCACCAACCCGTTTGTTTTATTCCCTGTTTTGGAAAGATTTGACCGAAGTTTTATGCTTCGACGTCGATCTTTGTGTAAAAACCCACGCTTGAATCTGGTCCGTCGGATGGGTCTCGAAAGATGCATCACACGCGCTCCAAAGCCAATCCAACGGCTGGGAGTTGATCAAGAAGTACTATTGACTTGTGCCTTTTTCACTGACAGATGCTTGATTGCTTCGTTAATCAAACAGTCTCTAGTATTAATGAGATGGATTTTGTAGGTAGATTTCTTATCTGCTCCAAAGATGATCTCAGGATGAATTTGACCTTTTC